TACGACAAAACACACCCACCGGTGAATGCAGTCCGCTTGTTTAGGGAAGTGTTGCTGCGCGAACTGCGGGGAACTCACGTTCGAACTCTCGCGCGAGCGCTACAACTACCGCGAGGCTTTGTTTCTTCAGAGACGGCATAGATAGAAAGAGAGATGCGGAGAAAGGTAAAAAGGGCCCGGGTTACGCAAGTCTTTGCAAGTCAATTGGCGCAAGTCCAAGTGAAAGTCAGAGTCATTGATGTTAAAGTCCAAGTCGAGTTGCAAGTCTTTTTATATTTGGTCAAGTCGAGTCTAAAGTCATCAAAATCATGACTCGAGTCTGACTCGAGTCCAAGTCACATGACTCGAGTCCACACCTCTGACAAGCATGAAGCCAGAAAACATCTGGGTTGAGTTGGTCTCATACAAGAAGACACTTCTGATGGATGAGAAGATTGTTTTCTAACCTAGAGTTCAATAGCTCATATTGTCACATGTGTTTTAGAACTTTGGTATAAGAGGCGAGGCCTGGCTATCAGCGTGGTCTGTCTTTTGTGCTTTGCCTCTCGTCCGCGCAGACCCAGGCTTTTCTCTCTGCCTGTCTTTTATATGTATTCTGTTTTATATATTAAACCTTCTTTTATATCTATCTAAGTTTGTAGTTTCCATTCTTTCATCGGGCTACTGTTTAAGGACACCTGGCTGAACTAGCATAACAGATTCTTTGTTCAGTTTTCATGCAGTTCCAGAGAGTTCTAGTTTGGAAGTTGCCAGCCTAACTGTTGCTAGCATAGCCACGGGAAAGCCTTTGGGAACTACTTTATTTTCTGTCATTAAATAATCCTTTCGGTTTTCCTAAAAGTGGACTGAAGTTTATGTTGTGTGTTCTGTTGGTATAAAGCCGTATAATAAGCGGGATAACGTATATTACGCAGGTCATTATCGGAAAATAAGTACCTTCAGGGCGTCGGGGTCCACTTCGCCCTGAAGGTACTTATTTTCCGATAATGACCTGCGTCATATACGTTATCCCTTACATATCAATCAATCAACACATTTCAGAATCATTTTTATTGCCAGGTAAGTAACAGGAAGTCACAGACTTGGAAATTGCTTTGGCTCAGTGCAACAGTCAGAAAGAGAGGTAAAGAGTAGAGAAGGCATAATAAATAATTAGGTGAATATTCATCTGAGCAGAATTTATTTTTGTAAAAAAAATTGCAGAATAAAGTGCATACTTCCAATCTTGTGGAAACCATGTTTTGATCCAAATGGATTCACTGTTTCAGATTCATCATAAAACACTTGTACTTTAAAAGATGAACCATCACAAAAGTCTTTGTAAACTCCATCTTCACAAGGTTTAACAATATGATTTCTTATTCCTTTGTTAGAAGGATAAACTTTAGAGTTTCAAGGATGGGGACAGACACCGATGTATCGGTCACAGGAACTTGATCGTTTGTTCCTGACTCTGTTTCTTCGTATGTCATACCTCACACCAAGTGGGATTTCAACAGGTTCTACGGGGTCCGTGTACCTTCCGTTCTTTCTTTTTTCGTTTCCGACGTACCAAAAAAAAAATCAAATACGGGGCTTTTTCCGTTTTCTGATATGTGATGCATATATTAAAAAAGGAGGAAATGGCTGTTTTCCATTATTCGCGGCCCGTAATATTGGATTGTGCATCGTTTTCCTTAAACGGAATGTTGTGACAAACGTCACAATATTAAAAATCCAATATATGTTAAACCAAAATACAGAAAATCATGAATGTTTTAATATTCGTTATTTTACCAGGTGACCCGGAAGCAATACACTTTTCCTGAAGCGCCTCAGGCAGAGCGACACACATGTGTGCGTCTGTTTACCAGTCTTTCTCAGCTCACCAAGATGGTGTCCCTTGAACCATATGGGAATATTATCATGGAAATGGTCGCTGAAAACTTTTCATACGCCGACATCTCCTCGAATTTGCAACAGTTGGGTGTACATCACTGTTCTGAAATGAGTATCAGGAGGTTTTGTTCAAATCATGCGATTTCCAGAAGGGGACATGTATCTGATGCAAAATTAGAGGATTCTATCGCCAGTGCAATTCAGCAGGTATGTGTTTTATTTTGTCTCATGGTCTACACAATAGTATACAATCTAGCTTAAATATAGACCTATGTGACCTAATGTGCCACCTGGTTCATCAGACAGGCTCGACATATGGTCGAAAGATGATGACCGGGTATTTATCGGCTGTCGGAGTGCTTGCCAGTGAACGGCGGGTAGGAAAGATTTTAAAAACAATGAATCGTCCGTAAAACGAAATGCGCAGACGTGTAAGTATGAGAGCAAAGTTTAGTGTAGTTGTTAATTAACCAACCCAATACTCGCCAATGTTTTTATTGTGTCAGGCTGATGCTTTTGCCTACACCCCCAGGGCGCCCGTAACCTTAACCCCGTCCCATACCACGCTGATTACATGGGCCACAAAGTCCACATTGACCAGAATGAAAAGTTGGTCATGTTCGGAGTAACACACGTTCTGGCAATCGATGGGTATAGCAGTAAAGTGGTGGCCCACGCGACAATGCCCATAAAAAATACCCTCACGATATATGAAGACGTTTACAGGTAGGTTAGCCCAAAGGAAACTAGTCACTAGGCCTTTGCTATGCTAACTCAGGGCACGGTCACAAGGGTTTTCGCAACCGAACTAGGCCAAGTGGCCTGGGTCGTCGCCACAGACGGCCCACGGTCAGAAGGTTTTATTTTTTCAACTGTGATAGACCAAAGGCGATGTAGTACAACGCTCGGCCCAGCTGGTGGCACACACTTGCTGTGTGTGTGTGTGTGTGTGTGTGTGGACATGGGAGCACTGAGAAATGAAAGACAATGAAAAGTGTGGCGTACGAAGAGAGCGACCGGAGCAGGATACACGTACGTTTTGGTGAAAAAAATAAAGGCAGATTCTTGCATACGTTTTTTTGTGTGTGATTAGATCCGGGATTTAGGTGCCTTGTGGTCGAGGGGCGCAGGAGAAATGTGTGGTTCCAGGGCCGTAGGGTTGGGCCTTCTACAATAACATTTCAAACTGTTACCCATGAGTCAGACTTTTATGTGGCCAAAACACACCAAGAAACACTCTGCAGTCTGCTCGTACGCTACACTTGTCATTCTTTCATTCTCATTCATTAATTTCTCAGGCTCATGCCGTTTACTCTGGCGCGCTCCCGTGTCCGCTGCACGCATACACACACACACACACACACACACACACACAGCTTCACATTGGATAAAGAAAGACACATCTCACACTTGTACACTGACTTTGATGCAAAGAACGCGACAAATGCTCGAGCTGTTGGAAAACAGTAGCAGAGTGTAGATCGGAAAATAAATGGAAACTTAACTCCCATACCAAGGTAGTCGCTGAAGTTAGTATTAGCGCCACCAGGTGGACGGAGCGTTGTACTACATCCGTGTTTGGGCAGTTAAAAAAATAAACTCTTCGGATCGTGGGCCCCTGTGAGGACGATCCGGGCCACTGGGCCTAGTTTGTTTGTGAAAACCTATGTTACCGTCCCCACAAACACAATTATTTAGAAAATGATATAATGTACAAATGATTGTATTCAGATATCATTTTTACTATTCTATTATATTCAGAACTTAACCCTCCATTTGCATAGGAGACAATTCTTGTTTCAATGCTGACGATTGCAATTATATATCTAATTGCAGATCTGCAGTTCTTGAATATGGTATGTGGGACCAGGTGAGAGTGGACCATGGACGGGAATTTTACCTGTCCCTCTACATGCAGGGTTTGCTGTCAAAACACAGACATAACATTCAAAGGGAACCATACCTCCAAACCCCATCAACAAAGGTGAGGTAGTTACATACTTCATTTCCACACTATTGTTTAATAGTAAAATCTGTCAAGGTTTCCAAATTACAAGAACAAGCAAACATGTTATGCATGGACTATTCCTCGTTGGGAGTGCTTGTCACCACACATACACACCATATTTCTTGGATTTCATGGACCACATTGTGTATCCTGTCATCTCCAGAATCATATGATCGAGCGAATGTGGGTTGAAATAAACAACCGGGTAAATTTTCCACTGAAGGGGGCCCTGGTGCAGTTGCAGGATCAGGAAGTAATCAACTTGGAAGACAACATAACCAGATACTGCACATCCAACCTTACTGGTCAGCTATGCAAGATTGGCATTACTAGAGCTGTAAATGCTTGGAATGCACATAGAATTCCAGGTTAATTACATAAACATTGGTAGCATCATGTAGTGGTCCTGTTCAATTCAAACTTAACTGCCTAACAAATTAATACTTTTCACACAGGCAAAGGAACACCAAATCGTCTGGCTGCAGGAGGATGTCCCAAAAAAATAGGACTGGAGTTGTTGCCCCATGCCTCTCAAGCTGCTGACATGTACGAGCAGGATGTAGGCTCCTCCTTGACTCGAGTGTCCTGCTTTGGAGCGGACCCCTTTTCATCAGAGGAGGATAAAGTATTTGCAGAGCAATGTTTTGCAGAGGTGTACCCCAATATTGCAGTTTTATTTGACAACATTGTAAATTACAACTCTGCTCCTTTCCAGGATGCATTGCTATGTCTGATGAACATTACTCAACAATGTGCATGAAATAAGCATGTAGTAGACACTGGTTATGCATCTTTATTTGAAACTGTATGGCTAAATATAATAATAAAATGCATTGTTTCAACAGTGTTTCAAAACTTTCAATACCATTACAATTGTAAATAAATTGTACTTATGTATTTTACATTAATGAAAGAATTATCTATTCATCAGTTTTATAACATAAATACAGAGTTTCATACTTACTCACTTACTTACATATTTATACTAAAACTGCTTAAGATTGCAGTCTTTGGCTCAAGTGCAGATAAACAAATACTCTGACCTCTGGCTGGAAATAACTGAACTGAACAGGAACATATAACTTCTAAACGGGAATGAATGCTATGACAATACCTAATCCATCCTAATTGCACCAGTGGTGTCAAGGCACGCAACTCTGTGAATATTCATTTCAAAATCCTCTGCCCTGCACTTGAGGCATTGCTCAGAGGTCAACAGCCATTGGTCCACACATTTGTGGCATCCCACAAACCTCTTGCAGCATACAGCAAAGACTGGTTCTTCCATCAGCCCTGTTTTAAAGAAAAGGGGGCAATAAGTGTAAGTTTAGTGTAACTACCGCTATACATACAGATTGTTTACATGCTTGAGAGAGCAACTATAACATACAAAAATCTAGTGCAATAATCCGGTGGTTCTCAAACTTTTTACACCAAATACCATCTCAGAAAATATTTGCCTCTGCAAGTACCAAGACAAGTGACCAACACTACAAAGTATAAAATAAATACTTAGGCCAGAAAGAATGGCCAGTATACATTCATTAGGTGGTGCTATATTTATTTCAATAACAGTAAAATACAATGATAAACACTATACATGACAATAAATCAAAGTGAACAGACTATAAACTTATAGTATAAGTGCAATAGAATACTGTTGTGTCTTTTTGTGTTTGGGCGCTTATGTATGTGCGTTTATGCACACGTTTATGTGTAGTTACATTTACAGTGTCATTCTGTTTAGTCCAGCAAGCGCTGGGACCATAATTGGACTTTGCCTCCAAATTTCTGTGGCTTTTTTGTGGTGCACCGCTGGTCTGCTGCCCCGACCCTCACATGGTCTGCTGCTCTGAGCCTCCACATGGTCTCTGTCAGCTCTAGAGACACATTTACTGCTCAAACCGCCTCCAAATGTAGCCTGACTCTGACTATTTTCCTCTATGTCTGCTTCACCTCCGTCTCTCCTGCTTAGAGTGCTCAGGCAGTGATCTTTGACCTAGACACCCACAGAGCTGAAATACTGTCTGCAGCCAAACCCCAGACATATATGATACACAGACGGACAGGAAGAGATTTAAAAATAATGTTGATGTCAATGAGTTAATCTAAATGGTACTTCCAGGTTAAATTAAACATTTTTTTTCACATTTTTTCAGTGATTCTTTGCGTACCACTAGAGGGAGTCCCGTGTACCCCTACCCACTTTGAGAACCACTGCAATAATCAATTCAAACAGTTAAACATAAGTCAAGCAAATGTTACATACCTCTGCACACAATGCAGCGAAATGCATCCTTTACATGTATAGTAAGAGTGTTGCTAAGAAGTAACACGTTGCCCACAGTGCTGCTTGCAAGTGTTGCTAGGTCCTTCATAACTGAGGTAACTCCTGTTAATGATTGGGCCGCAAGAACCACTTCTTCTATTTTTTCATGGACCTCCAGAAGACCTGTGGAGTCGCGCTCTCTCTGGCCACTGGAAAGTAATCACGAAAACATAAATCACAAAAATAGTAATACATTTATGCACTCAGGCGGATATCATTACTACATGTGATGGTTCAGATGTAGTCATTGAGGCCGAAGGCCAAAGGCAATCACAGCAGGGCTGATACAGAAATGACGGTGGTTTTATTTGGCAAAAAGAAAAGACAATTTTTAAGATTGGTCAATCCAGCCAGTGCAAATTCATAAAGATAAGAAATTTTAGCTGTAAAAAGTCTGAATGATTGACAGACTTGATCCACCCACATATTGATTTATTCATTTTTTTATAAATAAGTCATAATGTGGCATACCTTTAAGGATTATTATCATGTAGTCTTTAAGTAATTACATGCTTACGTCTGTTTCTTTCCCTTTGTTCCCTGCTGGAATTGATGTAAGACCTGCTCTGGGACAGCAAAACACTTTTTGGCATTTTGCCTCCAGTATTTGGAACCTAGCAAGAAAGGAAAATTAAGTAATTGTTTGTAAACAGCTTAGTGAGCACGGTATTTAAGTGAAATATCACACGCACACCTCGTGTTCCCTCTGAATCCACAATCTCATTTCCCTGAGCATCTGTCAGGACAAAAGGGTCCTCACACTGCAGGGCATCATGTATTTTAGCCAGTATACCAGTGATGGTAGCTTCAAACTCAAGCAGTCGTACGACAACCATTCGGGCAGGCCTCAGCTTTCCCTGGTTGAGCTCAGCAATGAAAACAGTCCTAGAGAGATTGTTATAGGAATTGTTCAGATAATTCATGGCAAGCAATATGATTTGATAAAACATTCTTGGTGGAAGAGGTTTGGCAACATAGTACAACACAGAATGACATGACATGACACTTTTTAGGTTCTCTTTTAAGCGCACAGCCTAAACATGAGCCCAACCCCTGCTTTATCCTGGTGCCTTTGCACGCATGCCCTGGCTATTGTACGAATTTGACAAGAGATTAGTCAGTAGCATGTTAATTAATGATAAAGTGAGTAACTACCTTTGAAATGAAGTGTTCACATACGCTTCGCGAAGGGGAGTGCTGCAAGCCTGCCCAGGTCAGATCCCAAAGCAGCCCAATACAGTTGCGCTACTCTCTGGAACTGGAACCGGGTACCCTGCACATGTGGTTCCCTGTTCTCGCCACGGGGGACACAGCGATGTCGTCCCCGTGGACTTCGTAGTGCCCACAAGAGGCGCAGCGTCGAAACAGCTGCAAATGCACACCTCGGTTCCGACAAAATCATGCGACGTTGTCATCATCCCTGTTATATACAGGCTAGGAGCAGCCGCATACCTTTGAAATAGGAAACACTTATATGAACGCGCATCGATACAGCCTCCTTTCTTACTGATGATCCATTGCAGCTTCGCCATACAGATAAATCTTAATAACTATATTACATCATGTCCAAAAAAAGTTTGCTAAGCAACGTGTATGCAAACTGTAATGTTAGCATCCTTAAAAAGTTAGCATGTTTTACAAGTAAAACCAGAAAGGTGTTACCCACCTGGAATATGCGGGCAATTTTTTTTTCCGCAATCATGTCATCCTCTTTTAAAGTCAGACGCTTTGTTCCTTTGAACAAAATGTAGTTTTGCCCTCCATTTCGACTCAACTTTACTCCCTTAAACTTGCACGTGTCGTGGTCTCCTCTGAATAGTGAGAAAAACTGACTGAAGGGGCGCCAACATTTTCTCTTCGGCCACCACACTGAAAACCCTAAAAATGAATGTTGTAAAACAAAAATTGAAATACAAGACCTTTCACCTCGAACAATAGCTTTTACTGAAGCCATGTACACACACTAAACTCTCAGACACTATAAATAATGACCATGTCTAACTGCTGCAGACTTTGATTTAACACTTGTGAGTTTTTTTTAATGAATACATGTTTTTCTTTTTTTATTTGCTTTTGCAGTAAATGGTCTTTACTGTAACATACATAAATAATGTATGTTACAGCATTTCATTTTTATATTTTTTATTACTAAAGAGAATGCATTAAGACCTTGACCAGCCAAAGAGTTCCACCTATTTATTAAATTTCATTTTTGACGAAGGATTTTAAAATTTTTTATATGTAGTCAATAAATTACATTCTAAAAACTGTGATTATGAAATTCCATGATTACTGTGTAGACTGAAATTAGGACTAATAAGTGCTCAACCCGATCCACCCAAATGGTGTCCCTTATTTTTTTTTTCTCAAGTTGGCAACCCTACTTGTGAGCGAGTAGAGCAGGGGTGGCCAACCCGCGGCACGTGAGCCGCATGCGGCTCTTTGGCTGGTTCCATGCGGCTCTCGGGCTTTCACACGACAAGGGTCAAAAACGCCTCGATGGTGGCGCTGCCTTTCATTCTCTATGTAGTTCTGACCCATAGTAAAGGCCGACTTCACTCCACTAGCCGGGCCGCCAAAACAATCTGACGTTGGCGAACGTCAATTCTGATTGGTCAGTCACTTTGCAGCCGCTGCCTCAGCTGTTGCAAATATCATAACAAACAACATGTTGCCTCGACCCATGACGTCCGTACGGAAAACAGTTCCTTGGTCGCTGGATGAGGGCAACACCTTCCTCAGTTTGAGGAGAGGACACCAGCGTGAGCTCGATGGTTCCACCAGAAACCAGAAGGTGTTTGTGGAGCTAGCACTAAGGACGGAGCAGAAGGATTCCCACGAACATCACAACGCAGACAAAAGTTAAAAAGCTTAAAAGTGACAACCGTGAAATGAAAGATCGCAGCAGCAGAAGTAGAGGCAGACCCGAAAAGTCTGGAGGTGGTTTGACCAAATGGATTACATTTACGGACATCGGCTAACACCGGCTAACATGCTAAAACCAGCTAACAACAGCTACACCAGGAGATAAGCCAACTCTGCCTGGTGAGTGTTGTCCTCAATCAAATGCAAACTACTGAATACTGGGTTGAAACTTGATTTTTTTTGTTGAAAGCATTTATTTCGGAATCACAATTGATTTTCGCTGACGTCAGATTTTTATGGTATCAACTCGCCCGGGGAGCGGCTAAAGCGAGCGGTGGAAGCGCCCGCAAACCGGGGAGAGTCGAGTCCAGCCCTTTAGTACTGTACGAGTCAATTTCTGTCATTATCATGTTGGTGTGTGACATTTACAATAAATCTGTCTGAGCAGAGGTGTGTGCGTGTGTGTGTAAGGATTGGGGTGATATTTATGTAGTGTACATTTGTATGATGTGGCTCTTTGCTGTAACACAGTAAAATAATTGGCTCTTATTCTCTGACTGGTTGGCCACCACTGGAGTAGAGAATAGCAGAGAATAGTTCTGTGGCGCATATGGTCTTGGATATGACCACGTTACGGCGTTCGGCGTGTTGTCGTCAAAGTGGCACACAGCCGCTGGAGGTGGAAACCGCTGTCCAGAGCGGCCACAGCTGCCCCGGGTCAGAACGCTGCGGCCACGGAGGATGCGGAATCTCGTTACAGTTCAACAACAGCAAGTGCCCTGCGGTCAGGCACAACCCCTCCAACATTTCTCAACTGATTTACACATTTCACAAACATGTTTTTTGTATGAGGCAGACAGACAGGTCCATATATGGGCATCAGCCTTTCAGCCCGTACTTTCCCCGTTTTAATACTACATTTTCAGAATCAGAATCAGAATCATTTTTATTGCCACGTAAGTAACAGGAGGTCACAGACTAGGAAATTGCTTTGGCTCAGTGCAACAGTCAAAAAGAGATAATAAAAATAAGAATAAAAAACACTTCTAAAGAATAAATTTAAATTTAAAATAGAGTTACAGTTACTATTTACAATATACAAGTGCAATGCAAACAGATCTGTTAGCAAATGCAATCTGTTAGCAAATGCAAACAGATTCAGATTTTCACCTGAAATTCCTGATTTTTTTACCATTATCTTTATCATCTTGTAGCAAACACCAGTGTTGTTGGAGAAAGGAGAAAATCCGAGTCACTCTTGACAGTAAATAAAAAACCTCCTCCTTTCTCCAACTAATCAGAAAAACAAACTCACCTTTGAAACAAAGACAAAACACTTTACTTGTGCAGAAGTAGTCTTTCCATGTGTTCTGTTGAATGAAAACACATTCTTCTTTACCACCGTATTTATCTGGCTCATTTGAAGCCCAGTTCTGGAAGCCTCCAGGGCTGGTGGCCCCAGTGGCGACCATCTCCAGGAGTTGGAAGCATTGGTCATGACTTGAAACCACGCAGCAGGGTCATCATGAAGACCGATCCAAGCCACCTGACCAGCCGGGATGTGGACTCTGCTCAGGTTCTCCTTTCTCTCAATCGTGGCCAGGTCAGTGAAGTGCTCTCTGCAGTACTGCTGAGCCTCACTCCAGCTTTTGGACTTGTCGATGAAATAGTACTGGTTCAGGCCATGAGCAAATGTAAAGAAGATTGTTCCATGACCTAGAGATAACAACATGTCATTCACTGAACTGAGAAAGCAGAACAGGCTTTGTCAATGATTGTTCTGAGAGCTTACACAAACTTAATTCTTTCATGTGATATGAAAGAAAATAGTCTCTGCTTCTTTGTTCCTGATTTTTGAATTGGTCAAATATTCATTTTTCAGAGGTGGCAAGTCACTTTATTATTAGTTTTGAATGAAGAAAGTCGTTCTTACCGAGAAGGAAGACCCAGATTCCATAGTCGACCATATTGGATGGACCCCTGTTGAGACCAATGACCACAGACAAGTTTCACAGCATTCCTTAGAATTTCAGTTTAAAGTAAAATGAATTCTTTACCGAGGCGGATACAGAATCACAGCGGGGCGTGTGAAGAGCGTGTCGGTCAGTGCCACTGAGCCCAATAGGAGCTGGATGCAGAAGTACAAGGTATTCTTTAGAGCACACAACTTCATGCATTATTAATTTGCATATTCAGCTATTCATAGATTATCTGGAACCTGAGCGTATCGCATTCAGGAGGTTAGAAATTCAAATATGAGATTCAAATACGCTCACGTTCTTTCATGTTAACTAACTTTTCATTAGAAGTAAAGCTTGTAGTCAGACTGGTCTATGGTCTTCGTATGTGAGGGATGTGTCTGGACCGAGCCTGTTTCCATGTGTATTTAGTGTATTTATTTAGAAGGAAAGAATTATATTAAAGAAAAAAGACCAAGCATCCAATTCAGACATTGTTTATTTGTACTTTCATGACACACGTGGAGTCATTTTAAAAGCTACATCAATAAGAATATCTTTTTACATGAACAGAATGTACCTGTTTCTAGTATTGCCTTCATTTTTGTTTTGTTTTAATTAAAATTGTGCTGAAATAGACAGAGCTACACACTCCCACAGCAGGAGAGAGTCGGCCTGTAGGATTCAGCGTCTCAGAACGAGGCAAAAACAAGGCATCCAAGATCCAAAGTAGCATTTCAAACATGACTGCTTTCTTATTTTAGTCCGCAAGTCAAAAAGTGGTTATACACAAGGCGTATTTACAAGCTGCTCATTAGGCAGGTAACGCTAGTAACAAAAGTGTACGACAATGTGGGAAGTATTGCATGAGAGAAGTGTAAAGCCTAGTGTATACTCGCGCGGCGCGGAGCTTACGGAGGTGACGTGACGTCACTTGCGCAACGCGTTGGTCACCGCAAGGCCCAAAGCCTAGTGTAAACTTGCATTTTCTAACTACGTATGGGTCGCCGCAAGGAAGCTCCGCTGTGATTGGTCCGTGTGTGTGTATTGGAAGGAAGCACGGAGCGGCTGCAGCAGGAGCATGGACGAGGCACTGTGGAGCAGAGAGCTTTGTGCTTCTAAGGAAAAGCAGTTTGGGCTCAGAGCCTGATATACAGGAGACTGTGGACTAGAGTTCTGTGACATATCAAACTTATAACTTATATTTAACTTATAAACTGTGCAGTCGTTTTGTTTGCACTGTTCCTGTCTTTGTTTGAATCGTAGCATATCGCGTCTGTTCCATTCCTCCTGCACTTAAATAAATTGTTCATGTTTGCCTCAGATATTTACCACTTGTTGTTTTGCTGTTTGTGATTAATACAATTTAATAATAACTATGTTTCCAACTAGAACTGTGTCTTTATTCACAACATCACAGTTAAATGAGTTAAGAAATAATGAATCCATAGAACTATCACATAAACCTACAGTAGAAACACATGTAATGATCTCAGCTCGGTTTGTTCATGATTTTGTTCTGAAGAGGAGAAAATAGCATCGTAAATGAGACCGCTTTGGTTTCTCAAGCAACTCCTGTGAGATCGCCATCGTGTGGTTGGTTGTGGGATTACAACATTCTCCTCAAAACTCCGCAAGGAGTATAAATTAAATTGTGCTTGCGTAGGTCCACCGCAACCGCTAACGTAAGCAGCGCCGCAAAAGTATACACTAGACTTAATGATACGAAAATAAACGGTGATACAGGAAGTGACTTTGAAATCTGTGCTGTGATTGGCTGGTGAAAGCAGGAGACTGGTCTGTCATTGGACAAATATGACCAGTGACGAAGGAGAACAAAGATCCTGCATAGATCTGTGAGATTTAAATTGTATAAATTCAACGGTTATTTACTGCAAAAGGTTTTCGACAATAGTTTTCCCCTCAAAAAGCTCCCACTATCTGAATATTGACATTGTCAAAAGGGGGCGGATCACTAAGAATCTCCTTGTATCCGTATAAAACTATTCAACATGGCAAAAGTACTAATAAAAAGGGGGGGTTTTATTTTCAGCCACTCTGCAAACTGTTAGCATGAGCTAGCTGTTAGCTCAGTTTAGACACCATGTTGGGTCTGAAGAGGTTGTTTTAGCACTTTAAGGTTTTTCTCAAGCGTCAATGTTTAGATTAAAAACACGCTAATATGTGTTAACGACAGGTTTGCACAGAAGGAAACACATTTTGCTCAAATAGAAGGAAAAAAATTGGGTACGTCCTCTTTAAGTGAACAATTGGCCCTTTAATAACCAAAATAACAGTGTAAAAAGTACTTTCTGCTTCACATACTTCTTAACTCTTTGACTGCCATTGACGTATTTGCCTGAGACTGGTGATTTCTGTCAAACTTCCCTCTATTCAACTGGGGATTACAGGAGAACAAAACCAGCTAAAAACAAACTTATTTATGCTGATGAAAGTAGACATTCCAGTCTAAAAACGGCTGGCGGTCAATGAGTTAAGATTGTGACATGTTAGCTATGCATTGGGCCCGCCACTTCAAATTTATAAATTAGTGCCATTGTTAAAGGTACACTGTGTAATTTCTAGTGCCTCTAGCGTTGAGATCTTGTATTGCAGTCTCATACAGTGCCTTGCAAAAGTATTCGGCCCCCTTGAACCTTTCAACATTTCGCCACATTTCAGGCTTCAAACATAAAGATATAAAATTAAATTTTTTTGTCATGAATCAACAACAAGTGGGACACAATCATGAAGTGGAGCGAAATGTATTGGATAATTTAAAAACATTTAACAAATAAATTGAAAAGTGGGGCGTGCAATATTATTCGGCCCCTTTACTTTCAGTGCAGCAAACTCAGTCCAGAAGTTCAGTGAGGATCTTTGAATGATCCAATGTAGTCCTAAATGACTGATGATGATAAATAGAATGCACCTGTGTGTAATCAAGTCTTCGTATAAATGCACCTGCTCTTTGATAGTCTCAGGGTTCTGTTTAAAGCACAGAGAGAACCATGAAGACAAAGGAACACACCAGGCAGGTCCGAGATACTGTTGTGGAGAAGTTTAAAGCCGGATTTCCCAAGCTTTAAACATCTCAAGGAGCACTGTGCAAGCAATTATATTGAAATGGAAGGAGTATCAGACCACTGCAAATCTACCAAGACCCGGCCGTCCCTCCAAACTTTCATCTCAAACAAGGAGAAGACTGATCAGAGATGTAGACAAGAGGCCCATGATCACTCTGGATGATCTGCAGATAACTACAGCTGAGGTGGGAGAGTCTGTCCATAGGACAACAATCAGTCGTGCACTGCACAAATCTGGCCTTTATGGAAGAGTGGCAAGAAGAAAGCCATTTCTCAAAGATATCCATAAAAAGTCTCGTTTAAAGTTTGCCACAAGCCACCTGGGAGACACACCAAACATGTGGAAGAAGGTGCTCTGGTCAGATGAAACCAAAATCAAACTTTTTGGCCACAATGCAAAACGATATGTTTGGCGTAAAAGCAACACAGCTCATCACCCTGAACACACCATCCCCACTGTCAAACATGGTGGTGGCAGCATCATGGTTTGGGCCTGCTTTTCTTCAGCAGGGACAGGGAAGATGGCTAAAATTGATGGGAAGATGGATGGAGCCAAATACAGGACCATTCTGGAAGAAAACCTGTTGGAGTCTGCAAAAGACCTGAGACTGGGACAGAGATTTATCTTCCAACAGGACAATGATCCAAAACATAAAGCCAAATCTACAATGGAATGGTTCACAAATAGACGTATCCAGGTGTTAGAATGGCCAAGTCAAAGTCCAGACCTGAATCCAATCGAGAATCTGTGGAAAGAGCTGAAGACTGCTGTTCACAAACGCTCTCCATCCAACCTCACTGAGCTCGAGCTGTTTTGCAATGAAGAATGGGCAAGAATTCCAGTCTCTCGATGTGCAAAACTGATAGAGGCATACTCCAAGCGACTTGCAGCTGTAATTGCAGCAAAAGGTGGCGCTACAAAGTATTAGCGCAAGGGGCCGAATAATATTGCACGCCCCACTTTTCAGTGTTTTATTTGTTAAAAAAGTTTAAATGATCCAATACATTTCGTTCCACTTCACGATTGTGTCCCACTTGTTGTTGATTCTTGAAAAATTAATTTTTATATCTTTAAGTTTGAAGCCTGAAATGTTGAAAGGTTCAAGGGGGCTGCAAGGCACTGTATATTGAGATTTGAGTACGGGTGCCTGTAGTGTTATGGAGACTTTTGCCTATCCTGTTTGACAGTGCTCCTCAACTCTCTGTCATTCACCAGACTGCCAAGGAAAGAATACTTTAGTGTGATAAATGACCGGATCTCTCCAAATGTCTCGGGCACTTGACAGTCGCGTGGAGCCGACATGTAAACAAGACCACGTTCAGACGCAGCACCCACTGCACAGAGGCTCTGAGTTTTACCATGGATTTATTATAATATATAGTTTTACCATGGATCTGTTATAATATATAGTTTTACCATGGATCTATTATAATATATAGTTTTACCATGGATCTGTTATAATATATAGTTTTACCATGGATCTATTATAATATATAGTTTTACCATGGATCTATTATAATATATAGTTTTACCATGGATCTGTTATAATATATAGTTTGGCAAACGCGGGGTGAAGCGAAGAGACACATGGAGGAATAAAGTCTGTGTGAGGTTAAAACTGTGGTGATCAAAGAAGCAGGAGATACAGAGCAGCAGCAGGACACGGATTATGTTAGCATTAGCGTTAGCCACAGCACCGCATCTGCATCACCAGGTAAGAAAAACAGAACATTCACTCACGCTGCTGTAAGGATTCTGGCGATCGTTTTGTGGGGATTCTGTGTGTTTTATTTGATGCTTGTCCCTTATCCACCACCGCTTTTGTCCTGATCCACCACCGGTTTTCAAGATGGCGCATTTACACGGATAGTCCTCCTCTCTCATGGACACTTATGAGTTCAATTCTAAGCCTATGAATACAATTTAAACAACATGGTGGAGGTAAATATTCTTAAAAAGAATTTGTTATTAGTTAACATGTTTTTTCACATGGAGCAGCTGTAAAAATTACACAGGGTGGCTTTAAAGGACCACTATGTAAAAATGTGGCCAATAGTGGTACTGCATTGCCTGGCCTGCCAAACGATATGCTTTTTCAAAGACATATAGTCTGGGAACGAGCTTGATCTCAGCGAATTCCCGGTGGGCGTGGTTGACAGACTGCATCAACCAATTAGATGCACACAGGATATGACGCAGCAACTAGCGGCACCCAAGCCGTTTCAGTAAACACAAAACAAGGGATGGCGGCATGTCAGCTAGTGCAAATGTAAACGACTGCTGTCGATTTTGTAACAAAAACTTAAAGATACGAGGAGTTATTAGCAACTCAAAGGTGAAAGGAAGTCCCGCCTCTCGGTGCGTGATTGGACCGATGTGGGTAAAATCGTGAAATGATAGGCTAGGAAGAGGTGTCCAGACGGTTCTTCTTTTGAACAGAAAGGAGGAGTGTCTGGCAGGCCAGGCAAGGTACTGCAGCCTCTCCCACGCTCCCTGACTCAGGTTGCCAGATATGCAGAAGAATCCAGCTGGGACCATAACAGCTGAATAGACAAGAGTTTTGTGAACAACAAATCTATAACCAACACCTGTTTCACAAACGGTAGAGGGCGGGACATCAAGGATTGTTTTTTTTAATGCCTTTTGACATATTAGGGCCAATTAATGATGACATGAAAATCTGACATATTGCTACTTTAAGATATTTCTCTTTTTTTTTTTAATCTAAAAATTGTTTGAAGTACTAAAGAAAAAATGTGCAATCTTGAGTGTTCGCAGCAAAAACATTTGAATAAACATTTGCAAAACCTGCTCCTGGAACTTCATTTGGTACCAATGCAAATGGAGGCACACATCAAAAGGCTAAAATATATTCAACAAACAAAACAAAGACCCACGGAGTTTTGGAAAAGGCAGGTCCGTCGTGTCGTGGTGGTACAAAAGTTAAAAGTTAAAGTTGCTCTTCAGACTAATTTGAAGCCGTGGGGTTTTGTGCTAGTAAAGTTTTGGGCATAAAATGGTCTCTTGGTCGGCAACTGCTTTTCCAGTTGCCGAAAAAAATCCAACATGGCTGCCAGTCCAACATTGCCGGAAATGCGGTGAGAATCCGTGACATTTTGGTAGTTTTTGAGTTTGTTTGCAGTTATATTTTTGCACTGCTGCTGTTAATATTCATACACAGATTTTACCACCCGGTCTATTTTGAGAAACTAAGCTTAAGCTAGCCCTAGTTTAGTGACTAGAGCCAATCCAATGCAGTAACGTCAAAGAGACAGCGATTTTCTCGAGGACTGGGTTGCCAAATCTGAAGTTTGCGTGTCGCTTTTCATGAGTGTTGTGGCAGTGAGGCTGTGGGTCGTCTCGAACTCTGGCAGTGCGTTGGTCTGAGGTTGTGTAGCGGTGGCAGTGGTGTGTGTTGCTCTCGTGCACAATGGAAGAAGCAGGGAGGGGTGGAGGCGGCGGGCTCTTGGGGGCCGTGCTTGCGTTGACCCAGAGAATGACGTCCGCTGGATTTCGACAGTCGGGAGAAGCCTCAAACACACACAGCATCCTGGGAAAAAAAAGGTTTGAAATGATCATTAAGAGAAGATGATCGCATTTGTTCTCTGCAATGAAAATGATGTCTTTGTTATTTACATGACCTCCACCGGGGTTTCTATGTCTGTCTATACAGCCAAAAGTTGTCCCGTTGGAAAATCAGTGATTTTTTCCAGACGCATTTTTTTTAGATATTTTTTCATTCATTTCATTTTCATTTATTCATTTATTTCAGGCAATGGCACAAGTGAGTAAGCAAGTTAATAAAATGCAGTTAAATAATATAAATCATATAATGCATGATTTATATTATAAATAGTAATGGAATTGATCAACCAATGGGATGTGTTTACCCCCTTCACCCTCTTCCTGTTTCTCGCGAGTGCACCGGAGTTATCGGATTTTTCCATACCTAAAATGACTGAAATGAAAATGCCATTTCACGTTTTCCGCCCACTCTCCCTGTTGTGACAAAGAAAAGAAAATGCTGGATGTTTGGTTCGGTGGAGAGGAAGGCGAGGGGGAGTGGTTTCCAGTTGGTGCAACGGCTAAGCTAACAACATCGCTAACTGCATCTTTAAGTCAGAATGTACTTCAATAAGGGTGTATTCAGACCTGAAAAGTCCTTTGCTCCGCTTGCTTGATCCGAATCAAAAGCGGACCAAACTTTTTTCTTTTGCTCCGGTTCGTATTCAGACTGTCCTTTTTGCAAGTGAACTTTTTTATATAAACATATTGACACGTGTGACGATCGGCGCTCCTATTGGACAGCGAGAGCTCACGGAGGATAGACGCGGAACCGGAGGAAAACAGTGGGCTCGTATGTGCAGCATGTTTGCTCTGCCTATGTTTGCTCTTTTTAGAGCAAAACCACCTTCAACATCAACAGCAGCTCATATGACACAGGCCAAACACGTTGTTTTAAATATTGGAACAGCGTCAGAGAATGCGTGAGGAGAAAGCCGAAGGAGACTGTCTGTGCGCTCCGTGCCCTGTCCCACACATGGATCTATAATAATAACCCTGTCCCACACATGGATCTATGATAATAACTCTGTTCCACACATGGATCTATGATAATAACTCTGTTCCACACATGGATCTATGATAATAACTCTGTCCCACACATGGATCTATGATAATAACTCTGTCCCACACATGGATCTATGATAATAACTCTGTCCCACACATGGATCTATGATAATAACTCTGTCCCACACATGGATCTATGATAATAACTCTGTCCCACACATGGATCTATGATAATAACTATGTCCCACACATGGATCTATGATAATAACTCTGTCCCACACATGGATCTATGATAATAACTCTGTCCCACACATGGATCTATTATAATAACTCTGTCCCACACATGGATCTATGATAATAACTCTGTCCCACACATGGATCTATGATAATAACTCTGTCCCACACATGGATCTATGATAATAACTCTGTCCCACACATGGATCTATGATAATAACTCTGTTCCACACATGGATCTATGATAATAACTCTGTCCCACACATGGATCTATGATAATAACTCTGTTCCACACATGGATCTATGATAATAACTCTGTTCCACACATGGATCTATTATAATAACTCTGTTCCACACATGGATCTATGATAATAACTCTGTTCCACACATGGATCTATGATAATAACTCTGTTCCACACATGGATCTATGATAATAACTCTGTTCCACACATGGATCTATTATAATAACCCTGTCCCACACATGGATCTATCATAATAACTCTGTCCCACACATGGATCTATGATAATAACTCTGTCCCACACATGGATCTATGATAATAACTCTGTCCCACACATGGATCTATGATAATAACTCTGTTCCACACATGGATCTATGATAATAACTCTGTCCCACACATGGATCTATGATAATAACCCTGTTCCACACATGGATCTATGATAATAACTCTGTTCCACACATGGATCTATGATAATAACTCTGTCCCATGGATCTATGATAATAACTCTGTTCCACAACATACTGACAGCAGCATGTGGATAAACCATGGATCTATAATAACCACGGGACAAACAGACGCTGAGGATCAGGTAGGAACCAAAGAACACAATTCACTACATGATGCGGAATATTGCTCTTTGAGACGTGAGTCAAACAGTGTCAGGCTTTTAATAATGCAAATGGTTTGAAGATGCTGCCATTGACATCAGTGTATACTGGAACAGTTTTAACTCCATGAGCCTGTTGCACAGCGTCTCCTCACTGCTCCAGGTCTGCACACGGCTCATTGTTGTTGTGTAGCGTTAGCAGCATAGTTAGCAGCATAGTTAGCAGCATAGTTAGCCGTTGCATGGCTAATTCCTCAGTTTCTGTCTGCGGCTTGTTAAGCCCAAAAAATGCGCACGTATCTTGGGGTTGTGTCGGATCGACACCGGATGTATTCAGACCTGATTCGACTTGGACCAGAATTCGTTTGGAAGCGGACCGAGACCACCTCAAAAAGTGGGTCTCGGTTCGGTTCTTTGGTCCGGACCAGGATTCGTTTGTGTGTATTCAGACCTGCATAAAAGATTCGGATCAGAGTTCCAAACGAATCCTGGTTCGTTTAAAGTGGAGCAAATGTGCAGGTCTGAATACACCCTAAGATAAAAACCACTTGATTCAAGCAATTATTACCTAATATTTCATTAAATTTTATTGCAGCGTGTCTGTGTTAGGGTTTTTTGCATTTGTCCTTGTATACTAAAGAACGATACAAAGATGCAAAACACTCCTCTCAAGCTACACTCAAACAAAACGGATGTAAATTGTGTTTGGTCCACAGGAACACGGATCTTTCTCTCTGTCTCCGCCAATCAGCTTTGAAATCTAGGGTTGATAATGAATTCATTCAGATAAATTAAATCTGTAACTTCAACCACTTTTTGTTATCCATAAAACATTGACAGAATAAAATGTGTAAGGTCTAAAGCAGACTTTGAGATTTATATCCTTGTACTTAAGTAAGTAAGTATTAATTTCAAACTTATATTTTTCATACTGCAAAACAAACAAGGTACGGTTTGAAAAAGTAGAAAAATGCAGTTTGAACTGTTTGATTTTATAATCTATGTTGGAGAATCAACAGCTTTGCAAAGTGTCTGTCTTTCGATGTGTGATGTAACAATGACTATATAAACCATGTGCTGCCTTTGTTCTGTCTGAAAAACCTGAGAAAAACTGAGACAACTGAAAAAACTGCTCTCTCTCAATCAACTGCCTTTTTTAAGAATAAACAACCACGCTATGATGCACAGGATCCCGTTTGGTCTGAGTCTGATTCTCAACAAAAGTCCTCAGACAAAACTGTTGTGATTCAAAAAGTCTTTACTAAAAGAGTCGGATTCTCCTCTGGACGTGACATCACACAGTCCTCACTTCGGTCCTCATGAGTCCTCACTTCAGTCCTCATGAGTCCTCACTTCAGTCCTCATGAGTCCTCACTTCGGTCCTCATGAGTCCTCACTTCGGTCCTCATGAGTCCTCACTTCAGTCCTCATGAGTCCTCACTTCGGTCCTCATGAGTCCTCACTTCAGTCCTCATGAGTCCTCACTTCGGTCCTCATGAGTCCTCACTTCAGTCCTCATGAGTCCTCACCTCGGTCCTCATGAGTCCTCACTTCGGTCCTCATGAGTCCTCACTTCGGTCCTCATGAGTCCTCACTTCAGTCCTCATGTCCTCACTTCAGTCCTCAAGTCCTCACCTCGGTCCTCATGAGTCCTCACTTCAGTCCTCATGAGTCCTCACTTCAGTCCTCATGAGTCCTCACTTCAGTCCTCATGAGTCCTCACTTCAGTCCTCATGAGTCCTCACTTCAGTCCTCATGAGTCCTCACCTTGGTCCTCATGAGTCCTCACTTCAGTCCTCATGAGTCCTCACTTCAGTCCTCGGGCGACACAGTGGCTGAGTGGATAGCACTCTCGCCTCTCAGTAAGAGGGTTCTTTCTGAGTGGAGTTTGCATGTTCTCCCCGTGTCCTCTGGATACTCTGGTTTCCCCTACCACTAAAAAAAACATGTGCAATAGTTCAGGGTGAGTGAATAAATGAGTTTGAGTGTGAATGTGGACAGATGCAAATTAGCCCAAGGCTGCAATCCAGAGTGATGTGTTCATGAACATGTACTGTCCCAAACAAACTACACCTCAGTTCCCATAGAGTCAGTCCTCATGCACAGCAAAAAGTAAATTCTAAGCAAGTAAAAAAATCTGGAAATAAGACAAAAAAACTAGTTTTTTAAATAAAAATTAAAATGATCTTGTCTAGCAAAATTTCCTTGAGAATAAAATTCTTATTTTTAGAAGTTCTAGCTTTTTTCTTATTAAGAAAAATTTGTTTAAAAAAGTAATATTTGGTAAAAGTAATATTTCCAAAACAGGCAACAATGACTTTTTGAGGCTCCTCTTTCTTAATTCAAGATAAAATAAGAAAACAAGAAATCTTAACATAAGAAAAAAATATTTTATTCAATTGAATTCAATGTAGTTTCACTTCAACATATTTGTGTATCGTCCAAAACCACAGCAGCAGTTGCGTGGCAGGATTTAACAAAGTTGTGGATTCACCAACAACAGATCAGAGAATCATACAGGTCGAACACCTGATGCAATAATAACAAACACATGGAGCCATATGAGGAGCTGGAAATGTTAATAAATGTCCTTAAATGTCCTTAAAAGTGCCTCCTGTACTGGCGACCTCGCTCCCATCTCTGTGTGGAGTGAGAGTCAAATGCCCAAACATAACAATTGTAAACCGCTTTGTGACTCTGGTCTGAGAAAGGCGCTATATAAATAAAGATTACTTACTACTTACTCATTTAAATGTCCCAGATCATCACTGTCCTCAGACCCTCCTGCATCAGAGCAACCACAGAAACCCACCTGTGGCACTGACACGACACAACATTTTTGGCCAACCTCGTGCACGTGATGCACGTCTCCATCATATACAATGGGCACATATGTGACATGTTTGTACAAACTGTGATATGGAGAATAGTCCACAGCATCTGATGTTGTGTTGGTATTGAGCTCACTGTGAGCTGCTCACCCCCTCCCTCCTGTTCCTGCTGCTGTGGGGCGTGGCTGTGGGCGTGGCTGTGGGCATGGCTGCTCCTGTTCCTGATTGGCCTGCACTCCTGCCCCTCATCTCTAATTATCTTAATTTTAAATTTATTTAAGCATTATTTCCTAAAATTATCCAATAACTAGAATATATTTGCTTAAATAATTTTGCTTATTAAGCCCATTTTACTAGTCTAAAAATGGAAAAGGTCTGCTAAAAAGAGCAGAAAACAAGCAAATTTATCCTTAATTAAACATTTATTGTAGCATTATTTCCTAAAATTATCCAATAAAAAGAATATTTTGCTTAAATCTGACCTTTTTATTGGAAGAAAATTGCGTAAATCAAGAAATATATTCTTGTTCTTTTTCCCCATTATACATTAGGAAAAAAATCTTAAAACAAGAATTCTAGACAAAGAAGAAAATCTTACCCCATTGGCAGATTTTCAGAGTCCTCATGAGTCCTTACCTCAGAAAGAAGCTGGACAAGGTCATCAGGAAGTCCAGCTCAGTCCTGGGCTGTTCCCTGGACACAGTGCAGCAGGTGGGGGACAGGAGGGTCCTGAGCAAACTAACATCTATGTGGACCATGACTGTCCCCCCCTGCAGGACTGGAGAGCAGCTTCAGGGACAGACTAACCCACCGATGCTGTGTGAAGGAGAGGTTCTGTAAGTTTCTCCTTCCTGCAGCTGTCAGACTGTACAAAAAGAACTGCTGAACCTGTAGAATTTGATAAACATTGAATGCTACTATTATGAAGCATATGCTTATACTACTGTCCTGTATGTGTGCTGCAACACTGACATTTCCCCACTTTGGGATGAATAGATCCCATCTTATTCTCAAACCCTTTAGAATAAGATCTGAGTCCAGGCGAGACGAGGATCCTTCAAATGAAGAGGAACCAAAGTGCAACAAAATGCTTGAATTTGGTTACGCTAGAATTACTGTCTGTTTAGTAAACGCTGTCAGAACAAGGTCTGCCAATGAGACAAGCTAAAATATCTTATTTTTAAGATTAACATTTTCTATAATGTTAAGCACTTTGAGTTGCCTTGTGTATGAACTGAGCTGTTCAGTCTCTACAGAAAAATTCATATTACCTGCAATCTGTCTGCTTTACTCAACACTGTCCTGAAGGGGGCAGTATCATCACATGTAAAACACTACATGTCCAGCCTTATAGTCCACTGAGGTTTGTTTGCCCATGCCTTTGTCTTTATTGGTTTCACATTTTAGGTTAAAATAGAAGAATAAACTAACTAACATTTTCAAAATGTCACCTGTAGATACAAACTTTAAGAAAATACTATTTTGTCTAATTTATGAATACACAATACAGTGATTACTTTTGATTGTGCTGGAAAACGGCTGCACGTCCAAAGTGTCTCTGAAACGGTTTTGTGCTTTAAATTATTTATTTTTCTTGTTTTTTTTCTGCCTGAGATGTTGGTGCGGTGCAGTGTTCGTGGTTTTACACTGGTCCAGACGAGAGCAGAGAGGATTCATGGTCCGAACCAAGTGGATCAGCCAAAAATCCACTGGAGGAATGCTAACTTTTTGAATAATGCTAATGAAGCATTTAGCTTTTTAATTTGGACCAGAGCAGAGAAAATGGTCTGAACCAAGCGGCTCCACCTCTGCTGCTGTGACCTGAAGGACTGCTGCGGAGTATTACTATTGCTAGCTTTGTAGAATGATCAATTTTATTTATTTATTTTGCTTCTACTGGACACCTGAATTTCTCCTACAGGGATCAATAAAGTATCTATCTATCCGTCTACAGTGGTCATTGGTGGTACCTTGCTGTGTGCCGTGGTCTCCCAGTGTCTCTGCTCCCACTGGACTCTCTCTGCACTGAACCCCTCCTGCAGGTCCAGCTTCTCCCGGCCCCAGTTCCTTTCCCCGATCTGCAGCTACGAACACAAACATCAAACAAAAGGAAGTGAGAAAGTGACGATTTGAGGACAGCATTGTGGAACATCGCACCTGCAGTATGTGTCTGGTGCATGGCCCAAGATAAAAACCAACTCCAGGTTTTGTTTTTGACGAGGGAACGACGTTGTAACATGGAGCGATTTCATACTGCAGACAATGCTGTATTGACCCAAGACAACCGTGGGATGAGGAAGCGTGTTGTTTGGACCTGTGTCGGCTTTTCAGCATGGTGAAGGCAGGAACGTGTCAAAATGAAAGGGTCCTCTGAGATAACTACTGTTGTGATTTGGGACTATACACAAATACATAGAATTCTTGACTCCGGAAAAATGTGTCATTATTAGCTTTTATTATGAGTCCTGAGCCACGTCACAAAGTTTAGTGAATTTTACGCTTTAGCAACAACAAAATCAAATCTGAAAAGTGTCTTCTTTATGTTCAAGGCTTATTTTAGTTTTTTTCTATAAGACAAAAAGAGTAAAGAAGGCAGTGAAATTAGGATTCAGATTCATTTATTTGCCATTTGCAGTAAAACCACATTGGAATACAGCCGCAAATGTCCCCAGTGTGCACCAGACAAGTACATGAATAAGAACCAGGTGAAAAATACAGACATAAAACAAACAAAACAGGAAACAATTAATCAATTAAACTAAAACAGTTTCAACACAAAGACAAGATCAGTTATAAACATTTAAAAACTTTTCTGGACCAGTGTCTCTGTGTTTTGAATCACTGTATTTTCTGTTGATTCTCTGATCTGTGTTGGTGAATCGACAGCTTTAGTGACGACTTCTGTTGTGATTTAGGGCGATACAAGATTAAATGGAATTGAATGTTTTTTAGGGCGACAGGTTTGTGTCGGAGCCGGAGGAACCGGTTTGTCGCAGACGTCAGACGATTGTGACGAATCTCATACAGAAGGTTATTGTTTATTTAAGCCGTGTTTCCAGGACGTGTCACTGTCAGACTCAGCTGTGTCTGTATCAGTCTGTTACACTGAACACTACTCCTCCCAGAGCAGTCAATCTGACGGCTTTTCGTTTTGGAAATGTCACTACATCGCTTAATTATTTTTTATTCTGACTTTTTATGGTTCTATATTTTGTTAATTTCAATGTAATTATGTTTATTAACTTATCCATATCCTATTCTGGTCCTAGACTGGCACTAGACTGGTCCTGGACCGGTCCTGGGCTTGTCCGTGTCTGGTTCTAGACTGGTTCTAGTCTGGTCCTGGACTGGTCCTGTCTGGTTCTAGACTGGTCCTAGACTGGTCCTAGACTGGTCCTAGTCAAGTCCTAGACTGGTCTGAGACTGGTCCTAGACTAGTCCTAGACTGATCCTAGACTAGTCCTAGACTGGTCCTAGTCTGGTCCTTGCATGTATTAAAGATAAAGCAGAATGACTTACTACAAAATTGAATACTAGAGAAAATCTAAAACTGTAGAATTCCATTCATTGGAATGGGAGCCGTGAAAAAGACTGCTGTGTTTACCCAATGTGAGAACAGGGAAATTTAAACTGACTATTACAAATATTACATGCGGCAAGTTTATTTGTATAGTACAGTTCATAAACAAGGAGCAGAACGAAACCGGAAGAAAAGAGTGAAGATAAAATCCTTTAGTCGTTGCAGCGAAACTAAACTCTTTTTAACCTGGATCTGAACATCGCCACAGCAGAAGCCTGTCTCATATATTTAGGAAGACTGTTTAGTCCTGACTCTGGGACCAGCAGGAGGCCAGTCCCTGTGCTCCATGAGGAGGTGCCACAGTCCAGGAGGAGGTCACTCTTTCATCTCCCCACTCTTCCCACACTTTCCCACATTGTCATTCTGCTGGTTTGTAAAAGGGATTTTGTGTTTCCGTGGCGACCACCCTGAGCTTCCCACAGCCTGAATAGATCTAAGCAGCAACAGGCCTTCACCTCCACTCTCTCTCCTCCCTGTGAACCAGGAGGAGCTGGAGCTGCACATTCAGGGCCTGTCTCCTTTCTGCAGAGTGTGTTGAGGTGCATTGAATAAAGTACGATTGTCACTGTGATGCGACAGTAGCTCAGTTGGTAGAGCACAGATCTTTGGACCTAATGGCCGTGGGTTCCACTACGACCCATGTCAACTGCTCCCACTGATGTCTGCTGTCGTTGTGTCCCTGGGCAAGACACTTAACCACACATTGTCCGGAACCCCCGACTGAAAGACCAAGGCCATCTCGTTGATGACGGAGAAGCCATCATCCTGTGGACCCACCACCTGCAGGAGGATCAGAGGGACTGGTGCGAGGAGCCTTTGTTGGCAGCTTTGATTGCCCCCCCCCCTACCCAGAAATGGAATAATAAAGGGGTAGACAATGACATGGCAATTGTCACTTATCACCCAGATGCATGGCTAATGTATGTGAGGCTAGTGTATGTGAGGCTAATGGTTAAAGCATGTGAGGATAGGTGGAACATCCGCAGGACAGATCATAAAATGGATTAGCCGCTTGGTTCGGACCAAGTTAGTATTCCTCCAGTGGATTTTTTTCCAGTGGATCCGCTTGGTTCCTCTCCACTCCAGTCTGGACCAGTGCTAAACCATGAACACTGTACTATAGCAACTAGGGCTGAAACAACTAATCGATTAATCGACGACTAATCGATTATTGAAATAGTCGACAACTATTTTAGTAATCGATTAATCGTTTTCTACACAATTCACAGCCAAGCCTTACAAAGTAATATCTTTAAATGAAACTTGTGAAAATGAAACATTAGATGGAGGGAAGTGTACATTCTAAGCTTATGTAAATGTTTAATCTTCATCACTTTTTCTGTTTCTTTATAGTTTATTTCTATGTCTACATACTTATTATTAAAATTTATGAAATAATATTTTAATTTAGAAATGTAGTAGAAAAGTTGAGAAGAACGAGTGCTAGTAACCATAGCAACCATAGCAACATACTGTGAACTTGCTTCCAGTTAGCATTAGTTAGCTACCAGCTAGCGTTTCATTGTATTTATCCATATTTCAAGTTATTATTATTATTTTTTTATTTTTTTAACCTGGTTTAGTGCTTATCAAAAGTAAGTAAAAGTCAAAATGACGGCTCTTCGAGTGCTAGTAGTTTCAGAATTCTGGTAGTCCGAGTCGTTGTTGTGTGAGTGCGGCCCTGGCAGTGCAGCTCCAGAGGCCGCAGACTCACGCGAGAAGACCGTGCAGGCCCCGTCCCTCTGTTCCAGGCCCCGCCCCCTCTGTTCCAGGCCCCGCCCCCTCTGTTCCAGGCCCCGTCCCTCTGTTCCAGGCCCCGCCCCCTCTGTTCCAGGCCCCGCCCCCTCTGTTCCAGGCCCCGCCCCCTCTGTTCCAGGCCCCGCCCCCTCTGTTCCAGGCCCCGTCCCTCTGTTCCAGGCCCCGCCCCCTCTGTTCCAGGCCCCGCCCCCTCTGTTCCAGGCCCCGCCCCCTCTGTTCCAGGCCCCCCCCCCTCTGTTCCAGGACTCGTCTCTTCCAACTTTCCCTAAACTTGTCCCCGGAGCTGCCTCCAAACTCCGCCGCTTCGCCTCCTTCCTGCACGGGAGCGGACCGCGGCCTCTTCATGGGACAGACACCGGACTCGAACGCTTTCTAACTGTGTAGCCCCTTGGATCTGTACAAAATGCCGGAGCAGATCAGCATTTCCGACTTCGTGGTTTTGACCAAAGAGGATTTAAACTCCCCGGGATCGACCGCGTTCCAGTCCCGCATGAGCGAGTGTCGAAGCACGGTCCTGGAGGTGGAAGAGGTACGACTGTGGTTCACCTGTGACGTCATCTGTTTTTGTTGCATTTTATTAATTAGCACTAAAATTACCATAACCGTCATTTTGACTGCTCCCTTTCAAAACAATGGAGTTCGTTTTTTTTGTTTATTTATTTATGTTTTTTACAGACGGAAACATAACAGTCAGAATAAAGCACAAGAAAACACACTGACATAATTATGTATCACAACACTGAGACCAGAGAGCGAGAGACCAAAGAGAGAGACCAGAGAGAGAGACCAGAGAGAGAGACCAGAGAGAGAGACCAGAGAGAGAGACCAGAGAGAGAGACCAGAGAGAGAGACCAGAGAGAGAGAGACCAGAGAGAGAGAGACCAGCGAGAGAGACCAGAGAGCGAGAGACCAAAGAGAGAGACCAGAGAGAGAGAGACCAGAGAGAGAGAGACCAGAGAGAGAGAGACCAGAGAGAGAGAGACCAGAGAGAGAGAGACCAGAGAGAGAGAGACCAAAGAGAGAGACCAGAGAGAGAGAGACCAGAGAGAGAGACCAGAGAGAGAGAGACCAGCGAGAGAGACCAGAGAGCGAGAGACCAAAGAGAGAGACCAGAGAGAGAGAGACCAGAGAGAGAGAGACCAGAGAGAGAGAAAGAGAGAGAGAGACCAGAGAGAGAGAGACCAGAGAGAGACTAGGGAGAGAGACCAGGGAGAGAGACCAGAGAGATAGAGACCAGAGAGAGAGACCAGAGAGAGAGAGACCAGAGAGAGAGAGACGAGAGAGAGACCAAAGAGAGAGACCAGAGAAAGAGAGACCAGAGAGAGAGAGACCAGAGAGACGAGAGAGACCAGAGAGAGAGAGACCAGAGAGAGACTAGGGAGAGAGACCAGGGAGAGAGACCAGAGAGAGAGCAGGGAAAGAGAGCAGGGAGAGAGAGCAGGGAAAGAGACCAGAGAGGGAGACTAGAGAGAGAGACCAGGGAGAGAGACCAGAGAGAGACCAGGGAGAGAGAGACCAGAGAGAGAGACCAGAGAGAGAGACCAGAGAGAGAGACCAGAGAGGGAGACTAGAGAGAGACCAGGGAGAGAGAGACCAGAGAGAGAGACCAGAGAGAGAGACCAGAGAGGGAGACTAGAGAGAGAGACCAGAGAGAGACCAGGGAGAGACCAGAGAGAGAGACCAGAGAGAGAGACCAGCGAGGGAGACTAGAGAGAGACCAGGGAGAGAGAGACCAGAGAGAGAGACCAGAGAGAGAGACCAGAGAGAGAGACCAGAGAGGGAGACTAGAGAGAGAGACCAGAGAGAGACCAGAGAGAGACCAGGGAGAGACCAGGGAGAGAGACCAGAGTTTGCTTTTGTATTGAGGAAAATAAACTCTGGTGCTCATAATTTGGGCTGTTGTTTTTCTACCTTCCAGCGCCGTCATTTTGACTGCTCCCATTCAAACCAATTGGACTTCTGAGAAAATCCTGCAAAGAAATTTTAGTTTTTCATGAAATTCTTTAAAAGGAAGTAAGGTTTATCCTCACTTTTATTAATTGCTAAAACCGGTCTTCATAACTGAAATACAGCAACGAAAGGCTAATGCTAACTTCTGCTCGTAAACCGTGTGTTGCTATGGTAACTAGCACTTCATATTCACTGGTGGAATCATTTCATGAACAATAATTACATACAAATAAACTATGTAAAGAAACAGTAAGTCAAAAAGTTGTGAAGACCAAGACTGCACCTGAGATGAGTCAATACACTTCCAAAACAAAAAACTGTCAAATTGACTGCTCTAGGAGTTCTAGTGTTAATGAAATCTTATATTTTTACTAATACTTTCTCAGTATAATCCTGTGTACGTGTTTGTTGTATTTAATTTACATTATAATTAATAATAGTTTGTTTATTTTTTTGAGATACATTCAGAATTTCAATTTTTTTTGAATGGGAGCCGTCGAGTTGAGCAGAGCAGAGCAGAGCAGAGCTGTTACCAGTGTTCTTGGTGCTATGCAGTAGTAGTGAAGTTTACAGATTGTGATGCTCTGACTGTGGTGTGTTGCTGCTGTAGCAGTTGTGTTGTGGAATGTGCACATGTCCAGGCACTGACACATATGGTGGCTCCATGCTGTATGCATGCATGCCAATGGCACAGACTGGTTGCCTCGCTTCTGTGAGTGTGCCCCAGGGCAGCTGTGGCTACAGTAGTGGTTTATCACCACAGTGTATGGAGTGAATTAGCGTGTCCAAAAAGTGCCCTCTTCTCTCTTTTTACTGCTGGTCCTTAAAGGTCATATTTGTGTTTTACAGTACAGTGCGGTGCAGTAGAGTGTGTTCTGGATGTGTATATGGAGTAGTTTTTATCTGTTTTCTGGTTTTATTTTGTGCGATTGACAGACGGATCTTTAGTTTCACATTTCCCACGGTTTAAGCTCATGCTATAATTCTTCTTTTAATGGTAAATGTATCGCATTAAAACGAGATGAGACAGATAATAAAAAAACATGATTATTAGGTCAAAAGATTGCATCAATATTCACAGGGATAAAGTGAAGTGAAGTGGGTCTTTTGCAGACGCAGGAGGGTCTAAGGACAGCGATGATGGACACTCCACTCCACTCTCTGCCCCGTATGGACCAATGTCTCTGTTTATTTTAATCACTGCATTTCATGAGTTTGAGCTGTTTTATTCTTCATCTGCTTTTGAAATACAGTGAATCTGTGGATACATGTCCCTGAGTACCCCTTGTCCTCATACCCTCCTCCTCCTCCTCTGGTCCTCCTTCAAAAACAAAAACGGTGGGGAGACAAATGCAGAATAAAAACCACGCTATAGTTGTGATCCTGGCCATGGTTTTTTAGATGGTAAAAAGCTGCTGATGGTACTGATTTTGACGTGGCTGTTAAAATGCGAGCCTGAGTCCAGTATTAGCCCTAGATTTCTACCATGAAAACAAAAACAGTGGGGAAATATAGACCTCTCACTGAAGGAGGCTGCACCCCGACACACAGGCTCTCAAAGGTTCTGATTATAGAGCGGAGATGTGGAAATAACAGAGGAGGATTCATGTGGATTAGTTTGAAGTCTAAGTTTATAAATACCACTGTTGTGTGACACAGAGATGAGGCTTTAAGAGATTATCGTAGATGAAGATTACAGACTGCACACTTTTTTTACAGGTCGGTTTTTATTCTCGTTGTCGATCTATTTATGTAATTAGTCTTGGGCTCTCAGTCTCCACCCATGTTGCAACACATCAAGCTCTGAAGTGAGTCCAAGTTCCTGGTGTGTTGTGGGAGTGAGGGTTCAGAAGACTCGGTCCTCAGGGTTCAGAAGACTCGGTCCTCAGGGTTCAGAAGGCTCGGTCCTCAAGGTTCAGAAGACTCGGTCCTCAAGGTTCAGAAGGCTCGGTCCTCAGGGTTCAGAAGGCTCGGTCCTCAGGGTTCAGAAGGCTCGGTCCTCAGGGTTCAGAAGGCTCGGTCCTCAAGGTTCAGAAGACTCGGTCCTCAGGGTTCAGAAGGCTCGGTCCTCAAGGTTCAGAAGGCTCGGTCCTCAGGGTTCAGAAGGCTCGGTCCTCAGGGTTCAGAAGGCTCGGTCCTCAGGGTTCAGAAGGCTCGGTCCTCAGGGTTCAGAAGGCTCGGTCCTCAGGGTTCAGAAGGCTCGGTCCTCAGGGTTCAGAAGGCTCGGTCCTCAGGGTCTTCGGACAGTGTAGAAATGAAGCCAAAAGAAGCAAAGAGAGGACACATTCGACATGTGGAAGTAGGTCAGACAAGAACAGAATTAGGCGACAGTAGCTCAGTTGGTAGAGCATTGGCCTTTGAGGCAGAAGGTCGTGGGTTCGAGCCCACAACCTTCTGCCCTAAAAGCACTATATAAAACCGATGCATTATTATTATGAATTGAACTCTTTGGGTCATATACAAATGTTATGTTTGGCTCAAAACTTGCTCTCATCTCCCTCAATGCAACATCCCCAGAGTCAAATATGGGGGTGGTAGCATCATGCTATGTGACTGCTTTTCTTCAGTGGGGACGGTGAAGAGTGGTTAGATCAAAATACATAATAATGGAAGACAAGCTGCTGGAGGCTTTGAAGGTTAGACAAAATAAATGAAGCTAGCACTGCTTAATTACCACATGTTTGGGCGTTATACTTCCGCCTGCGTCAGATGTGACGCATGATGGTGTGACTCTTATCAGCTGTTGTTGCCGGGGTCAGTCTGACAGATCTCATAGATCCCTCAGACTGACCTCGTCCCTTGCCGCGTTGTGGTCTCTGGAGAAGTGAATCTCAAGTGGCGGATGAAGGCGGAAGTTTACCGCCGAAACTAGGGCTGGGCGATATGGCTAAAAAGTAAAATCTCGATTTTATTTCCTGCTTTGGATGATTTCAATTTTAAGTCTATTTTCATTAAAGTCACCGAAGACAGACTTTGTTGATCTTTCTGCTCAATATTCAAGTTTCAAAACTATTTTTGATTTATTTCCCCATTACGTGTTATAAAAGTCTAATACAGACTGTGCTGATGTTGCAAGTATAATCTATGTGCTGCTGGAACTCTCACAAATCCTTCATTCGACTTCAAGATTTTCACATTTTTCAAAAAGATTTTTTTTTCAAAAGCTGATTAATTGCCTAAATTGGATTTATTGCCCAGCCATAGCCAAAACATGTGGTAATTAAGCAGTACTAGCTTTCTTTACTTTGTCTTATTGAAAGAAGCTTCAAAGCCTTAAACATAAGAAGACAAAATGAAAGTTTTACGGACGGATTCAACATGATATTAAAGAAGCTATACCCAATTTATTTTCTAATGAGTTTATAAAAATACTTATTACCACATACAAGTTGTATTATAATCCATAAATTAATTGAAAACTTGAGCTCATTGATTCAGCTGTGTATGAATTCAGGCCTTATAAAAGGGCTGAGTACAGACTTAGCGTGACGCTAGTTCTCCTCCAATCACAGAACGAGCCTGCGTCCTCTAGCCTCTGCAGCGCTGCTAAACACAGTAGCATTTTAGCAGAAAGTGGTT